GCGCATGCGGCCTCGGCCTTGGCTTGTGCCCTGGCGGCGATAGCGCTGACTGAAGACAAGTTTGTGACGCTAGAATGTCTGGGAACTTGTATGCTTACTCCTGGCTGCCCCAGCACTGACTGACGATAGGTCTGTGACGTTTGAATGCCTGGAACTTGAACGCTTAGATCTGGCGGTTTCTGCTTTGGATGACGACAGATCCGATTTGTTATAAGTTCTCTCGGCGTGCTGCATTGTGACCTAGTTTCCAGCGTACTGTGCATATTTTCTTCCTGTTTGCACGAGATTTTAGGAAGGGTTAATTTAGTGATATCTTTCATATCTTTCATAAAGCGGAGTTAGTTTCACTTTGCTATGCCTTAGACTGGCTGTGCTGTGGGGATTTCACACACACGTGCTGCTGTATTAACAGTTAAGAGTCTTTTCTGTGTTGTGGGGCTTGCTGTAGATTTTTCACACAATGTGCTCTGAAGTAACCGTGTAAGTCTTTTTACTGTCCTGCCTTCTCTGCAGTTATGAAAGGGTTACAGAGGATTACAGGCAGTATAACCTTTGATGTCCACACAGTAAAGAGTCGATGATTGATAACCGATGATCTTTTACTGATAACATGTGACATATGTGATCAAAAATGCGGTAAAACTGAAATGAACAGAATAAACAATGACATATCTAACTAAGCTATATGCATAACATTCCACAGTACATAGGAGGGTACTTACAGACTTTGGGGGTCTAATCAAGCCCATATATGAAGAGAGAACAGCATCCCACATCTACTTGCATAGTAGAATTTCTTCAGTCTGAAGAGATGAGGTCACTTCCTCCCAAGTTAGCAGACAGGACGTCCCTAACCTTAAAGGGGACAGACACTGCTGAATGCTAAAGAATGCCTTGTGTAATACAAGGCAGCATGAAAGGACCCTTAACTGTCCTGAGCACGCCTGAAAATTGCAGCTCAATAGACTTCAATGGGACTGCCGCCAATCGTCTCTGTTCTTAGGACACAGCCCCATAGAAGTCTATGAGGCATTAATACACAGGCACAGGACAGTGAAGACATTTGGCTGGTACACACACGATGAGAAAATCGAATGATCATTCAGGGTTTTTTGCATGCTACTCTCATATAAAATACAGGAGTGCTACTATGCGTATGAAAATCCTTGTACAATCCAGTACAACTTCCCATATGCATAGCTACATACTAGCAGGAAATCAGAAGCAATGACAGCATTATGAAAAAAATTATATTTACAGGGTTTATATCTTTATAAGAAGATCTGTAGATTATATCCAAAATTGTGCAGCAATAAAATTATCATTCCATTATTGCAATTACAGGCAGTCCCCAGGTTACGAACAAGATAGCTTCTGCAGATTTGTTCTTAAGCTGAATTTGTATGTAAGTTGGAACAGGTACATTTTTTAAGTGTAATTCCAGTCAAATTATTTTTAAGTTTTCGATAACATAGGGAAGGACTAACTGGCCATGCAGTGATGTAGGATTGCTGAGAGGTCCACCGGACAGTAGTTGGCAGCAAGCAGTGAACAGCAAGATGGTCGCCCGGCGGTTTCTGGGACCAGTGTGGCGTCACGTTGACCCCGTTCTTAAGTAAAAGTCATATGTAACTCGTATGTTTGTAACTTCAGGACTGCCTGTAAACACATTTCTGTATTATGTTTTTTTCGTGTTCAGGAACATTTTTGTTGTTTACAAAGATTGTTTTCATTGCCATTTTTCCCTTCCGGGTTGTTCTCTTGTTTCCGAACATGCGCGGGCCTTGGTCACCTGATTTTTTATAAACGAATACTATACTGATTAAACTAATATTGTTTGCTCTTTTATCCTACGAGAAACATTGTCCCTTTGGATAGTTGTGCATGAATTGTCATGATCGGCTTTCGAAAGCTTTGTACTAACAAATAGATTATTGAACAATCGCTCCAAATGCGTTTTTTTGTCTGATTTTCTCATTGTGTGTACCAGGCATTAGGTTATGTCAGGAGAAGTGGAAAAGCTACACATAAGTACACTTTGCTTTAAAGTGCATTTATCCTTTAGCTCTGGTTCATAAATATGCGGCCTGCGTTTTGCGCGGACACAAGAGCCCATTCATTTGAATGGACTCCCGTGCCCGTGACACGCAGGGAAGAAGTCCCTGCACTTCTTCTGAAAACGGTTGCGTTTTCCAGTGCGGGCGGTGTGCCATTACAACTAATGGCACCCGTCCGTGGGTCCACATTCCTCTGTGCGGGTGGTGATTTTCATGCAGATCCGCAGCGACACCACCCGCACAGATGTGAACCTAGTCTTAAGCTAAACTAAGGCAAATATAAAAGGCACAAACTAATGCAGCTCTGTATGCATTAATACAAACCAATAAGGTTTGTAGCAATGCAAAGAGCATACTGATAGGAGGAGATATCAGAGTGACAGAGAGATACGCTTTTAAGTGTACTGCATCTCGTTTTACTGTATACTTCCTGGGTGGGAGGAGACCTGTACATGAAAAAAAACCTACAATAGAGAATGATCAGGTCCCTTCCCTTGCCAGGCAGAACTATGCTGTGCGGCAGAGCTGTGTAAATTTCCAGATTGGATGGACAGAAACACATAAAAGAGCCCATCTGTGTATTTAGCTGTTTGGAGTTCAGCTTTGAATAAAGCATCACAAACCTGGACAATATACTTTGAGCAAATTCTGGAAAATAAGAGCTCATTAAAACTTATGCATTGCTTTAAGCCATGTACAGAATGGCACCACAACACACTGAAAGCAATAGCGAGCAATGCACTTGCATTGCAGTACAACACAATGGGTTTGATTTAATAAAGGGAAATGGACTGTGAACACTGTGGGTGCTGATGCACTCGTTTTCCCCAGAGTTTAATAATTTCCTATCATCCAATCATGTGCAAGCAAAATGCTTTTTTTTTTAATTGCAAAGTGCAGCCTATATGTCTTTAGTAAATCAACCGCAATGCTGTAAAATGCTATAAAAAAAAAAGTTCATATCAAATTTTGCAGAGTTCTTGTGCATGGGCATCCCATTTATAATGAATAGGCAGACACAATGCTTGAATGGGCCCTAGACAGAAGTTGCCTTCCAAGAAAATGACTACATGTCAAAATGGTCAAAAGATCCAGAAATACAAATGATGGATCTTATATACAAATAACAATTTACCCTGCTAAAGTTTGATCTGACCCTTTCCTTCTCCATTTTAAAATGAAAAACACTTTATTTATCAATAGGAATACTTAGCACTTGGGATGGGGCAGGGCCAAATCTGATTTTTTAGGAAAGGGCAAAGTTTGAATAGCGATATTCAACTTTGGATCTGCTAATCATTTTGGTTTTCATCAATGGTAGCCTCTGTTTTGTGCATTGTTCTTCCTGTGCTCATGCTGAGTCTTGTGACAGATTTATGGCCAAGAACCACCCCAGAAAAATTTGACATGCAGAGATTGGTGGAGGAGGAGGGTGTAAATGTGGTTTATGCAGAGATTGATCATCCACAGGCCAACCTTGATAGAAGCCTAGGGCCTTTTAAAAGCCATTAGGGAGGTTAAACTTGTAAGCAGTTTGTGTGTGATGGTAGGGGACCTTGCCAATACAAACAATGCACTTTAGGTTTGCTTATGCTAAAACTCATTAATGTCAGCCAAAGGGATGGGTGGTCAAAGCGGCCATCTTACCTAGGACCTTAGAAATGTTTTTACTTTAATGCATGGTTTTAGAAGACTGAGAACATGTAGAAAATGTAATGGACAGGAACGTCTATTGACAGGTACGCAGATCCAATGCTGAAAAGTCTATATCCAATCAACTCCCAAAACCTGCTGCCTGCTCCGATATTTGCAGTTCAACCAAGCTGATATCCTATGTAGAGAGAATGAGGTGCAAGTTACCTGTGCCTGGTAGTCACTCAGACTGGAACTTATAGGCCTTATGCATACTGGCCGTTTTAAAAGCTCCTTCTAGAGGTGTTTTTCATTTTCATTTTTCTGCCTCTAACCCCCCCTCAGTGTTAGCCTATGTGTCCATATACACATAGAAGTTTACAGGCGTTTAGAGGCAGAAAAAAACCTCCACTGCCAGCATGTTCAGGAGCAACAAAGTTTAACAGAAAAAATGCATGATGCGCCTAAACACATATAAACAAGCTTAAACGCTAGGTGTGTCAATCACTTGGGGATTCATTTATATCAGTGGCCAGAATAAACTACTATTCTGGCCAAAGAAATGAATAAACGCCCAAGGGATTGATGTGCTAGGAGAAAGGTGTTTAGAAAACACCCAAGTCTGCATGAGGCCATAAGCTTGGTTTATGGAACTGGGGCACAGAGTTAGTCAGTCACAAATTCCCTCTATTTCAACCCAATGGACTATTTTTGATGCAAAGTATATCAAAATGTCAGTTGTAATTCAAAAACAAAATCTTTCATGGAAGTTCCAAGACTACTTCTTTTAATAACAAATGATGTGGTACTAAGAGAACAGCCACATTTTGTCCCCATTGGTGAGATTTTTACTTGTTTCTCGTTTTATCTAACACACATCACCTGCACAGACAGAATGGATCTCCCTAATTGGCAGACAGACCAAAACCTCTAAACTTTCCCTGCTGTACTAAAAAGATTTTTATTGCCCGGGTCCCTATTCAGGAGATTTACCTTCACTTCCAGTAGAGCCTGACACCCATTAAATGACAGGAAGGTAGGCACAATTTTCACAATGGGTACTCAATAGAGGTCCTAATTCTTCCCCACTATTTTCAAAATAATGAAACAATTTGCATGAATTTGGCAGTTAAGTGTCCAGTACTGGTATCATCTCCATGTTAAAAAACATAATATATTGCAACTACTGTTCTTCATGTCGCCTGTGTGTGTACAGTTTATGTCCTGTGTATAATGTTTTCTCTGTTCTTTTTCGTAGGTGTAAATGGTAACTAGGATATAGACATCTAGAGGTTGACCTAAGACGCAACCATGAATAACACCAGCTTTGCCAACGTGTCCTCAGCCAACAAGACCATGATGGGGAGCCCTTACAAAACAGTGGAGGTGGTATTTATTGTCATTGTAGCTGGTTCACTGAGCCTGGTGACTATTATTGGAAACATCCTGGTCATGGTCTCTATTAAGGTCAACCGACATCTACAGACAGTCAACAACTACTTCCTGTTCAGCTTAGCATGTGCTGATTTAATTATTGGGGTTTTTTCCATGAACCTCTACACACTGTACACTGTGATAGGTTACTGGCCAATAGGACCAGTGGTGTGCGATCTCTGGTTGGCTCTGGACTATGTTGTCAGCAATGCCTCAGTGATGAACCTCCTCATCATCAGCTTTGACCGGTACTTCTGCGTCACAAAACCACTGACATATCCAGTGAGGCGAACCACCAAAATGGCTGGAATGATGATTGCTGCAGCGTGGGTGCTGTCCTTTATCCTTTGGGCCCCTGCTATACTCTTCTGGCAATTCATTGTTGGTGGAAGAACTGTCCCAGATGGAGAGTGTTATATCCAGTTCTTCTCAAATGCCGCAGTTACATTTGGCACAGCTATTGCAGCTTTCTATTTGCCAGTCATCATTATGACTATATTGTACTGGCAGATATCTCGGGCCAGCAAAAGTAGAATAAAAAAGGATAAAAAGGAACCAACCACTAATCAAGATCCCATTTCACCAAGCAATGTTCAAGGTAAAATAGTGAAACCAAACAATAACAATCTTTCAGCCATGGAAGATGGTCTAGATCATAGCAAAATCCAGAATGGAAAAGCCTCTAGAAATTCTGTAACAGAAAATTGTGTCCAAACAGAAGGAGAGGAGAAAGAGATCTCCAATGATTCGACTTCTGTGAGCGTAGTAGGCTCAAATGCAAAAGAAGATGGACCTTCCAAAGATGCTCCTCAAGCTTCAGGATCTCAAGCCCTTCCAAAAGTTGAAAACTCCAAGATGACCTGTATACGAATAGTTACAAAATCACAAAAAGGTGACTGTGGATCTACAAGTGGTACCACAGTAGAAATTGTCCCAGGATCCAATGGTCGGAATGGAGAAGACAAGCAAAATGTTGTTGCTCGAAAAATTGTAAAGATGACAAAGCAGCCAGCCAAAAAGAAAATTCCACCATCCAGGGAAAAGAAAGTGACAAGGACTATCTTGGCTATACTTCTAGCTTTCATTATAACTTGGACACCTTACAATGTAATGGTTCTAATCAACACGTTTTGTGATGTATGTGTACCTAACACGGTGTGGACAATTGGCTATTGGCTTTGCTATATCAACAGTACGATCAATCCTGCTTGCTATGCGCTCTGCAATACTGCTTTTAAGAAGACTTTCAAGCACCTACTAATGTGTCAGTACAAAAACATAGGTACGGCAAGGTAAAAGAAGACAAAACATGGGGCGGAACTGCCATTAAAATATTACGCCATAGCACTTTACAATCGATTATGGAATGTGCAATCTAGGAACCTTATTCTGACACAGACCTGTGGAACCTTTCCACCATCTGCACTTATAACTATAAAATATATAAACAAATGGAATTGCATCTCTTGGATAGAGTAAGATATATGTAGACGGACCTGGCCGCTGCTCTTCGACTTAAAAAAAAAAGATACACAAAAAAAACTTCAAAGGGCTTTTTAAGGTCCACTTATTTTCAATGTCTGTAAAATGACCATACATATTTTTATGTGTTTCGATGTCTACAGGACACAAATTCTATTGACTCAAAGTTCAGAATATCAACTAACTAGATGGAACAAATTAAAATTACTTTATAAGGCTTTTGTTTTCAGAGATAGACAAAAAAAAAAACAACTCACCCTAAGACTTTTTTGTGATATGTTCGTCCGAGACATCGGTAATACTGACAAACCTCAATTTTTCACAATTTTCACCTTTATCCTAATGTTAAAATAATGGCTCTTCTGTGCCTCCGTGTTTCTAGTGACTGTATCAAAATATAACTCAAGTTTAGCCCTTGTGATAAGAGGGGCTATGTTAGAGCTTCCTTGAAAATAACTAGCCAAGCAAATAATACCTATATATAAGTCGTTTTTGTCTATATTGGCACAGAAAGGCAAGCTTCAGCTCTTTAGCTGTGGCAGAACTTCATTTCCCATCATATTTAGTCTAGAATTTTGAGCAGCTTGGGAGATGATGTTCGGTGACAGCTAGCATGCAGAAGGTGTATTGTCCATTCATCTTTGAAGGTTGGTACTATATTGATACTTTCTAGTGTGATATATCCTGTCCTCATTCATGCTTACTGAAATTACCAACAACTGGTTATTTTTCGTCCGTTACATTACATGTGTAGCTTTATCTGGCAAGTTCTGGCAAGATGACCAATATTGTTTCATTAAAGGAAATGAGATATTGTTGGGCAGCTGCTGTCCATTCAAACATAGGAATATCAGTGGAAAGATAAAGCAGTGTATTAATCGGATTTTTGAATCATACATATTGTTGCCATTACTGTGTTACTTGGCCCATTGCATCTTATAACCAGTTATATGAAAGTGTTATCTATCTTTTTATTTTCTGCTCAAGGTTTGATTGGAAGGAAAAACATTCAATAAAGAAGTGCATTATCATTTCTGAAGAAAGTAAAAGAGCAGGCATCCACACTATGGCTGCTTATACAATGAAGAAAGCATTTTGTGGGCTATCAAATAGCCTAAAGTATATCTAAAACCAAAATAAAAATGCACTATATTGCAGCTCACTCGTCCTTGGTGTTGCAGTTGGATTTGTTTAGTTTTTGAAGCTTTTTTGTTTTATTTTCACCTAGTAATTCTGCAAATAACACACTTCCTGCCCCTGAATGGCTGCATCACTCTTCTACTGTATCAATGGAGGCAGCCATGGTTGTCACTCTAGACTGTTCTTCAGATATGAACCTCAAACATATTTGTGTCTCTTATCTCTATTACATGGATAGAAGATAATTAGGAAGGAAGATATTTTTCGGTGAAGCTCACAAGGTAAAATAACATGGGCACTGAATTTCTAGCAAGATCAACAAGTATTGTCTGTATTTGATGTAAATGTTCTTAGCTTGAAAAAAAGAAAACTAATTTAGGACTGTAAGCTGCAATATATTACATTTTTGCACTTGGGTTTAGTTGTTCTCTAGTTTGTCCACCTAATGCACAATGTTTATTATGGCAAAAAACCTTGAAAATACAGTTCCCATATCCCCTCCTACCATTTGTGGGGGATAAAGGCTAGCAATGAAAGAAATAGTTGTTATATTTTCCACAAAATTTTAGCAAACAATTTTGGAAAAGTGAAAGATTTTATAGGAAGATGACAGAATCTCCTTGCAACTCTCCTTTACCTAGTATGTTGCCAAAAAACAGCACACCTTAGTATTCTAACAGAAAGAAAATAACAGAGAGTGGGAAAAAGTTAATGAATAAAATGTAAATGATAGTACATAAATCATGATCAAATATACCAAAAAAAGTCAAAAACACAGAAGACTCTGAATGAAACAAACAATTATCCTAAATACACTCAACCAAAGGAAAAAAACACATACATGCTTTAAATAAAAAAAAAATATTTTTTACAAAAAAAAAAACACTTTAGCAGCTCAATTAGCAAAATTGAGTTTCCATTTTGATAAAATTTTGCTGACAGGAAAATCTGTAAAATGCAGCTAAAAACATTTTATCGAAGTCGCTTTGCTAATCCTTAGTCAAGACAGATTTGTCTGCTTTTAAATTAATGACCCCTGTTGGCACGCATTTTATTGCAGAAGAGACAAGAAATGAGTCTTCTGCAATAAAACATACCTACCGACCTGCTCACAGTGATCCCCCGACTGAAAACTAAGCTGCACATGCACAGTCGGCTTAGAATGGCCCTGGCCCATCCTCTGTGCCGGGATGACTAGCTCCTGTGCATAAGCAGCAGTGCCGTAATTTCATGCCGGCCAATGAAGATGACCGAAACCCGGCACACAGGAGAGATGCCGATGCCTGTACGTAAGCTTTGGGAAGGTGAGTATCCTCCCTTTAGTTCCCCTTTAAATCAGTTACATACATTTCAGGTGGAAATACCTCCCTTCCCCCTTTCCTCAGTCAGAGCTATAGCTCTCTATTCAGCAGAAAGCATGAGGTTTACTGATTACTGAGGCTTCATGCACACAAGCATCCCCTAAACTCGAATTTAGGAGCTTTTGGCATTTTTTTGGCAAAGCTCCTAAACTCAACTCCATAAAACCCTATGTTTCCATGTACACATAGGCTTTTAGCAGAGTTTAAGAGCTGCCACATTTAGGAGAGGAGATCACATTCAGTATAGGAACATTTTGACCGCCGACCATGGGAAAACACAAAAAAGGCAAAAAAAACAAACGCAAAAAGGCAAAAACGTGCCAGCCGCAGTACCGCGTTTTTTGCCACAATTTGCGTTTTCCCACAGCCGGTGGTCAAGGCATGAAGCCTTATAGGTTTGACATGGCCTCATGTAGACTGCAGCTGCTAAACTGACATTTAGGAACAGTTGGGTGCTTTTTTTCTGAAGCCCCTGAACTCTCCTCTATGTTATACTATGTGTTCATATTTATACATAGTCGTTTAGAGGAGTTTACAGGCAGCTGAAATTACTGGCATTTCTCTGAAAGCACAAAAACTGCATTCAAGACAAGAGTTTACCAGCATTTAAGGCCTCATGTACACATGAACTCCCCTAGATGTTTAGCTCTGGCAGCAGAAAATTGCTAAATGTGGCAAAAATGCGTGTAAACGCAGTACCACTTCTAGCCGTTTAGTGCTTGGACGTTTATTCATTTGATTGGCCACTGTATTTTCAATTGACATGAATAAATGCCCATGCACTAAACGTAACTAGCGTTTAGACACATTTACATGCATTTTTGCCATGTTTAGCATTTTAAGGCCAAACTTTCCTCTCCTGAATGCAGAAGAATCACGTTCAGGAGAGGAACATTTAACTGCCCCTAGACTCCTAAACTCTGCTAGAAGTCTATGCGTACATGGACACATAAGCTTTTATTGAGTTGAGTTCAGGGGCTTTGGCAAAAAAAATGCCAAAAGCTCCTAAACTCATGTTTATGAACAGCAGTGTACAGGAGGCCTTAGCAGGGGGTATATTGAACTGTGCAGAGAGACCACTGCTTCCACACAGAAAGCACAGGTTCTTCTCTGCAGTAGTAGCAGAATGCAGACCTTTCTACACAGACTGTGGATGCTTTCTAAAGAAAACCTGTTGAAAGATTTTGTACAGTTTGTTTTTTAAACACCTAAGATGTATGTAGCTGATTTTCATTTAGGCCTTAGGAGGAAATGAGGACTGTATTTGTGATAAGTTTTTTTTTTAGAAAAATTATTATATAGGTGAATACAATTAAAATATTGTGCAAGTGCACAAAAATTCTCTTTAATGGTTTTTGAATGGCAATGTGATTGTACACCAAACTCACATGTGCAGAGGGAAAAACAAATAGGGAAAAACTGAGGCAGTGGTGGAATCCTTTACTTTTTAGCTGTCATATAATAAAAGGCCATAGGTCCATTTGACTAGGTCTCCAGTGTTATATCTACTAATTAAAATGTGTTTGATCAGAAACACAAATACAAAGAATAATAAATGTATTAAAGACATGCATATAGCACCAACAGTTGACGCAGCACTTTAGTACATTCACATTAGTCCCTGCCCTCCAGGCATACTGTACATACAGGACAATTTTAGGCAACCAATTATCCTCCCTACATGTCTTTGGAGCATGGAAGGAAATCCACACAAACAGAGGGAGAACAGGACAGGATTTGAACTGAGGACCCCAGTGTTACAAGACAGAATTGCTAACCACCAGGGCACTGTGCTGCCTAGAAAATGTCGACAACTGCCAGCCCTTTGTACTTAGACTCCGAATGGGTTGTTCGGTATAGTTACATTGAACCAATGTGTCCATACAAGTTCTATAGCCCAGCTAGATTTATCATCGATACAATAAGTGTTATTAAAACAAGAAGTGTTGTTCGACTCAATAAAGTCACCATTAAGTGTTGTGTCACATGATCACAGGTGTTTGTTGGTGGCATCAATTCCAGATTTTGGGCATATGTACATGTACTGCTACCCATAGCAAACATTTAAAGGATGACATTTGCTATTTGAATGCTTCTACAAAAAAAAGTAACTTTAAAGTGGAGTTCCAGTCTTTTTTTTTTTAAATCACCCCCCTGACAGTCACAGCTTATGCCATGCAAATTGGCATAAGCTGCATATGTCATCTTTTTTTTTTTTTAATATACTTACTACTCCCCACAATCATGCACCCATCCATCTTCACTGTGGGCATCTGAAGCCCAGCTGCCCTTTCTTCCGGGATACGGTGCAGC